CGTATAATTATATTAGTTGCCATAGCGACTCCGGAATTTTAGATTTTGATGAGAATTGAACTACAAATATCTTCCTGGAAAGGTGTTTCCCAGTCAACAATCTCCATAACATTGACGTACAACAATAATACACAAGAATAGAGAGCCTAATCAAAGTGATTTAGTGTTATAGATCTATTTTTTTTGAATAATCAAGTAATTGAATGTATTCACCCTGAAAAAAAAGACCTCTGAATTCCATCATTAAGATAAGGTACTAGCGCTTATGAAAGCGCTAATTTAGAGGGCTTATGAGGGCTTCATTGTGGATTCAAAGTCTTTACTCGTTTAACTTTGTTTCAATACCCTAATGATTATTCAACTTTTTCAGAGAATGGGTACTACAGTACAAACGCGGACGTTACAAGCAATTTTCCACGAATCTGAGCAAGTAAACGTTTAATTTTCAGGATGTCCCTATGTCTGATTAAGGTTTTATAAAATGTTTTTAGGTGATTAGGCAGCTAACTGAACAAGAAATCGACGAATTTAAGGAAGCATTTCTTCTCTTTGACAAAGATGGGAATGGGACAATTTCTACCAAGGAATTGGGTATCGCCATGCGAGCTCTTGGCCAAAATCCCACCGAACAAGTAAACTATTGATATTTGAGCAGATTAAACTATATTTCTTCTAGATATCGTTAATGAGTTAGGTTGAGAAAAACATAATTTTATTATCGCCGATGAATCTCTCAAATTATTACTACAACTTAAAAATTTCTCTCAAATCGTCCTCTTATCCAAGAAATCATGTTGCTTTCATCAGTGAAGAGCCTAAGAACAGCGGCTTATTAAGTTAGGAAAAAAGAGCGAAAGACATTCGGAGCCCCTTTCACATATTGGTATGATGAAAAAAGCAGAGATGGTAATTACTATGAGCTACAAGTAAAGGCTATTCTCAATATCGTAGTCATTGTACAAAAAAGCAGAAATTCTACTTCGGGCATATCAATACAATCTTTAGAAACTATAAATAGAAGGTTCCACACTTGGTATCAAAAATATAAATGACTTAATTCTGAACAATCCC